CCAAATATTAAGGAAGAATAAATTATTTTAAAATGATTTTTAGATCTCCTTATGCGATTCAAGGTAAATCTGAAGATTATCGAAAAATTATAGGGGTTTCCCTCCACAATATGCTGCCTATAATAAATTATATATTTTCGGGCGTTTGGCTGTAGCACAATCGCTTATGTCGACAGTATTGACGAATCCCAAAACTATATATGTCAGGATGTTCAATTTGCGCTCATAGATTGTCCAAACTCAACCAGGAGTGTAGTAGTTTATCCAGATGACCGATGAACTCTGTATATAACACTAAAGTCAAGGATTTGACAGACGTCATGATCTACATTTAAAAACCTTTAAATTACCAGATGTCATTATTTTGACTTTCAGTCGGTGCGTTTTTTCTATAATTATAATGAGATGAAAATATCCAGGATGAGAAGTTTTCCGAGCTTACCTTATTATTGGTGAAGAATCGCAGTAAAAGAGAAGAATTTAGAAGAGTTTGTTTCTACCTTCTCAGATGGGTGATGCTACTAGTTTTGATGCTGAAGTCTAATTTTGATAATTAAACGGAAAAGATGGGAAACGTTCAATACCAAAAAGGTTGTGGAGCACAGCACCTGCACAATTTTCTGAGAATTTTAAAAATAGTTGGTTTCCTCATAACACTCGCGATTCCTACCTTAATTCGTAATCTTCTTCCCAGAAAAATATCAGTTTATCCAAATATGTGTAGGGCTCATAATAAGAAACACTTACGACGAAAGTAATTCATATTTATTTGCAAACGGTATCTTCAATTCACTGTCAATGTAAGCAAATTTTCGATAAATGAGAATATGAAAACCATCAAGGCGTATGGGGCAGCTAACATCCGGTTGAAATCAGCATATTTCAGTAACTGGAATAGATAAGTACGGTCTTGGCATCTTTGTCCACCTCTTCACTTGTTATTATTTTTACCGATCAGACCATTTCCCCCAAAGTATTCTCCTACAGTTGTTCATGGTACATACAGTCTTATTGTTGGAGCATTCGTTTCACCAGCAAAGTCTGAAACACCAGAAATATTTACTGCGTGCCCTCCTGCTGTCTGAATTACTTATGCACACATCCTTATGATCTTAAAAAACGTTACATTTTTATCAAGCACCTCAGTTTCTATATCACCTAGACATAATAAGTTATCCTAATTTGCTCTATCTATCATTTCTACAAGTCGTGGAAAAATATGGACTATTTGTTCGTTTATATGCTATATTAAGAAGGTGTCACGTCTTCAGCTGGCTTCACATTCCACGTACCGACCATCACTATGAAAATCTAAGAGTGCCTTAGAAATGTTTCGACTTTACTATTTTCTCAAACAAGTACTGTCGTAATTAGATGGTTGGAGACAGTCGGTAGGAAGCATTGCCGGGACCCAGGTCTCATGATGGTTGGCATTCACCAGTCAGAAAGACTTATCCACAACCTTTGAAGGAACTCATGTCCCTTCTGAGATTCGAACCCGCAACAATTTGTGCTGCAGTCAGTGACGTTATCACTGAACTATTCAGGCTCGCGATTGACCTCCTGTAGGTCTGTAGTGAATACTTAGATTGGAAACTAGTAATCAGTGTTGTCTGTCTAGTCCTTTCTCTGGTGCAGACTGAACTCTAACAGTCAGGTTGACAATGTGACCACCATTCTTGGTGGCTCGCCATCACGGTGTACATTGATTTTATGATATAAGTTTGTTGCTAAGGAATGCCAACTAGCAGGAAATCAAGGTCTGCCAAGGCTCCCGATTGCCTCCAATCATCTAATATCATGAAATTTATATACACCATGACGGTGAGCCTTCAAGAATGGTTACCATATTGCAAACCTGACTGAAAGAATTTATTCCGTACCAAAGAAATGACTAGAAACATCACACTAGTTACTAGTGTCTAATCAAAGCACGTGATGTATTTTTTTCTCGTTTTCAATGTGAGATTTTAGTTGTGAGCTAGTGAGGAAATTTGTGGTATCTTACTTGTCACCTTAGAGAGGTGATTAATAGAGTAGCAGGTCTTTGTTAGATATCTGATGTAGACAGGGAGGTTATATGGATAAAGCAACGGCACAGATCTAAGTGCAGTGAAGATCTGCCATTCTAGGCCTATTTTCCATTTGAAACGAGAGGATAGGATAATAGTGATAATTGCAGTAAATATACCCTCAAATGATTCCAGCGCTTTTAAATGACATCAGATATTCTGCGATAAAGATCTAATGCACCACATTACCCAGTGTTTATTCGGTCCTCGAGAGGTTTGGATTTCTCCAAACCCCTTTTCTTATACATTGGCTATCACAGTCATTGAGTTTTATTACTTACGTTAAGTGTTACCACCTAGTGTCATTAGGTTCACAGTGTCGTTGCTGTAAATTTATCGGATAAGATGCTCTTTGAGACAACCACACGTTGATAGGTCCTCATCTAATGTCATTTCTAACTGTGCATCCAAATCTACATGTAAAAAAGAAGAGAACCCCTTCGATTTTCTGAATATGTTCCAAAAAACCTATTTCTCAAAGGATCAAATGCTTACAACACGCCCATGATCACCAATGAGAATCATGAGGTAGACATCATGATATCCTTCAAAACTAGCGACAGACACTTTAGTTTAATTTTCCTTAAGTTTACTGAAGCAATCATTATCGAACACCTAAAATCCGATTTATGTGTTCAGAGGGAAGCAGTGGTCAGACGTACCTTATCCCGGCAGCTGGACGTCTTTAATTCCTCATACATCCGATTAAGCCGTCTTTGTCTTCAATCTCTTCCATCTTTTTAGCAAAAAGTTGACAGTCTCTTTTTCTATGATTCTAGTTGAAGTGTCTATACTTTTACTCAAATTATCAGTTGCTGTTAATGTTAAAGACTTCTCGTGTTTGATTACGTAACAACTCGGTTTTCTCACGTAATTATTTATTTATTTCGCTTTAATCTTCTGGGTTAGAATTATATCGGGGTAATTTTTGGACGTATAAAATTGTTTCGCACACTAACTTAATACTTTCTTTAGGCTGTAAGCATCTGAGGAGTAGCCAACGAAACAAATGGTGGCACAAACTGTTGTCCTTTATTGATGCAAATCCATAAAGAGGATTTTCGTTTAGGATAATCTTGTATAACTTTGAACAAGGAAGTATGAAACACAGTCTACTGTAGACTATTATTATTGATATTAATATTTATTCCTTGCGTTCCGAGTGAAACGCAGATCTTCAACTGGACACATCCATTGCACTGAGTTATCTGCTACAAGTTTAAACTAGGTCATGACTGTCTACAATCTTTATTTCATCTTCATATGATCTTTTCTATATCACTGAAATGTAGGATAAAATGAAACAAAATTTAAATTTTATGTCACTATTAAAAGCGAAAATTATTTTTGTAGAATCACTCTCCCTCATCATTTTTCCTCATAGCTTGTTTTCTGCTGGGCATCTTGATTGTCTGAATGAAGTAAGTAGTAATTAGGATGATGCAACAACTGTCCACTGCTTGCTTCGCATCGACTGTCTTTCAAATACAAATACCAATCAGCAGTTGACACCATCAGCATAATTTATTCTCATTCAAACATTTAACTGTTGGAAGAATATATTCCAACTCGCAGTAATCAAAATAATGCCTATTGAAAATGGATATCCTCGGAAGACCATATCAAAATATGGGAAGTAAAACCACCTACAACAAAACCCTAGTATTAGAGTGGAGAAGTATTCGTAAGCACGAAAAACATAATTAAAATTGTATTGAAAAGAACACTTCTCGGTGTTAGACTCATTTCACTTTACAACACAGTATGCTCATTAATCCAGTCGAAAGTAGATGTGTATCCTGATGTTGTCAACCCCAATTCACCTGCACTTGAGGCACAGTACATAAGAATGACTGAGAGGAGAGCGTCCACTAGACTCTCTGAGCATATCTCCATTTTCAAGGCAACAAATTACTTTCAAGAGCGATCACCAGATACCTAATTGACACGGTATATACAGTGGAAATATATCTGGTTTTCAAAAGCATGGTAACTTCGGTTCACAGAAGCTATTATCATCAAAATACTTCGACCTCTCACCACCCTGATAACCATAATTGTTTTATTCATGTGCTTTTGTGCTTTGTTCTGTTGCATAACATTCCCCTTAATCTTGATTTTTATTTTGACTCATTGAACTTAACTCAATATTAAGCTTTTAAATTTACTAAATTAAATTATTTTATTGATTTTATAATTATACTTAACTATTCACCTCCACCCTCCTGAAGCCTACACTATAATATGTATAAATTAACTCCGATGTTCGACTTTGAATTTTGTCTCTAGTTCATCATTTTCTTCAAGCGACAACAGAAATCCACCTCTTTGCCTAATTACTATATAATAGACAATTTTTAGCTGATGAAATTCACTCAAGATGGAAATACAGAAGCATTGGTTCGGATCCCAGTGCCCTAATGTTCTACGAGCTTGTTTTGTAACCAGATGGTCCCGGTTTTGAACTCTGGCGAAGGGGGCGGACTGATGAAGCGTCCCAAACGAGGCCAAAACCGCTTTCTGATACCCTCTTACCTATGTGGTTTCATGATGGAATCCTGAAACCGATCTAATCACTGCAAACTAACATAAACAGTTGCCCTTTAACCACTAGACAATTGTCCGATTACATCATCTTTGAAATTTCGTTGCTTACACTCCTTATATATAACTTGCAATTATTGTGAAAAGTATGTTCAAATGCTATTCTGTAACATATAATTGATATACTTAGGATTTAGGCTGGTGAAGAGAATTCATGCAATTAAAATACCTCGTATCATCCTGCACATATCTTCTTCCTTCGTTTGTTTAAAACAATGAGAACAAGTGGCTGTATGATATTTCATAAGAACTTCTTGTTCAAGATTAAATTAAATAATGTTCAGAAAATAAATGAGACATCAGTGAAAGTAATTAAATTCTAGGTTAACACTTGTGAAGAAATTGTATTTCAGATATTTCGAGAAGAATTTTCAGAAAAATATGCTGAAATGTAATTGAAAACAAAAACTCTGAGTGCAAAAAACAGGAATTCGTCAAATACTTCTAAGACAGAGATGCTATTAATAAGAGTAGAGATACCACTGAAGTCAGTGAATTATGTGGACTTACTTCGGGTGTCTATAAAATCATTGGCTACTATTTATACTACTTATTTAAATATATGAGTAGGCAGAACGATATAAGTCAATCAATTGTATCTGCTGGTCACATCAATGTGATCTAAAGGCTCAACGGCCGTTTCGCTCACCCCAGACTGAGCACATCGACTGAGCTCAGAGAGCCTATTCAAATCGAATCACATATGGATATCTGGTTAAAAATTCAGTGTGTTTAACAAAAATAATGACGAAGTTTGTTTGTTAACTATAGTTTAGGAAATGCAATTACATAGCTTTTGCTTCATCCAGCGGTAATAATCAATTGATTTACATTATGAACTTATTAAAACAACAATCAAGTATTGATATATACGGATTTGACTTGTCACAGTATTTCATCTTGAGTGGACATCGGGAGTGCTGAACAGATGTTTCGTCCGTGTTTGGGACTCTTCTTATTACGCAACCACTGACACCTTTCAGACCGAAGATCTTCTGGTCGCTAGGCGACCTCCTAGACCATAAGGCCTTGTAACAAGAAGGTCCTGGGTTCGTTTGCCACGGTGTGGGTGCTTACTGATGAAAAGTTCTAAAGTGAGACAAAACAGCTGTTCAGTACTCCCTGTTGGTTTTCCAATCGTTCGCTGACTGATCTCAGCTCATGATGAAACCCTGCAACCAAAATAACAATCACTTAATCAGAAGCTATCAACTTTGTATTTCTTGGGAAGTAATTTCGGTAGTGTTTTGTGTTCATCACCTCGAAGACTGTGCGTTGGTGGCACAGTGGTCAGGACTCCTGCCAAACACGCACATGGTAAGGAGTCCGATCCCTGGCCGACGAAGCACTCCTTTACCTCACTAATGCAGTAATAACGCTGGTAAAGAGGAAAGGTTGAGCACAACGCTAACAACTTGTTTCAGGTTTATGTGTATAATTTATAACCCATTTATCACATTCTTTGATAATTTTACGTATGTATAACAAAAGAATGTGGGGTTAATATCTAAGTAGTTGTCAAAAGTATTACAAGCAACTCGCCAACATTCATCTTCTCCTCGTTCTAAACAGGAAATCAGATCACTTATCTGGAAAAATTTGTACCTTATAAGAATAACCATATCCAGAATAACTTACATACTGAATACATTCATCCCTTAGAAATGAAAAGAATTGATGATTAACTGTATGCATATTCCTCGACTTAAGGTTAGTAATTAACACAATATATAAAGGACAACTTACAAGTGAAACTCCCAAATCTTCCAATGTATCACGTCTACATTACAAAACAGCGCCTTAACGATAATAATTTTAATGAGCATAACAAAAGCGATATCCAGAATACCAGCTAACAGTTCGATATTCTGAAAAAGTTACACTTTATTTAAGAAACAAGAAATGAATATATCATGCCGTTTTGTTCATACAATTGATTCTTATAGAAGTATATTATCAAAATTTAATTAGGCATAACCATATACTGAATAAATATTTGAATATATGTGTCTGCGACTTAAGCCTTTGCTACAGCTAGCGCGTAATTTATTAAGTCACTTCATCCTGGAAATGATAAAAGAAGCATTGGATGCAGAACTCCACTTAAATGAACAACCTGGATTCAGAAAAGGCAAATTATGTGTTGATCAAATTTCAGCCCTACGGGTAACCGCTATACAGAGCACAAAATTTCAGTCAAACGTCTACCTCAATATGATGGACTTGAAAAGTCTGTTGGCAGCATTAACCAAGAAGTGATTAAGGAACCGTTTGAACACTACATAGTACTACAAATCTTTAAGAACTTCACTCAATAGCTAAATGAAATAGCCACATGTCAGGTGATCCTAAACGAAGCCTAGAAAGTGAAGACAGGAGCAAGACAAGGTCATTTAATACTACCGATATTTCTGATTCTTGCAGACGTCATCATGTGTCAGATAGCGAAGACATAGGGATGTGTTAGGTCATCAAGGGGAATCTAGATGGTCAGACCATCGCGCAAAACGTGAATCTAATAGCACACCGAATTTAAGATTCACATTCGAAAGTGAAAACAGTACCTAAAGTGGAAGGAGGAAAGACGGAGATGAAGATGCCAAGCACTGAACAACAGTAGACATCAAGCACCATTAACGCAAGACGTTTGAAGACATTTGCCTTGCCCAGCTATCTAGGCAACGTAGTTTCACCTACAGACAGCATGGCTGCGCAGGCCAAAACAAGCCAGAACCGGAGAGATGTAACAAATATCCATTAATGATTACTGAATCTTTGTTCATAGAATCTACAGGTAACACATATGAGAAATATTGAAAATATTACTACTAATCAAATCAAGAAGTGAGAAATAGTGGAATCATAAAAACGAAAATAGAAACTAGTGTGGGTAAGTTGATATGATTATGAGTATTACATTTTATCCACAATGGAATTAATTTCGCGTTCCCCAGTGGAACATAGGGCTTCAAGCTATAGTGGCTTGGAGTTTCTGTAACAGTATTTATTTTATAGGATGAGGTCGCTAGCTTCGTGCCCAACCTTTCATCTTTACCAGCATTATTTCTGGCTCAGCGAGGTGAAGGAGTGCCTCGTCTGCTGGGGATCGAACCCCGGACAGTGTGCATGGTCGGCGAGCGTTCTAACCGCTATGCCACTGACGCAAAGTCGCCACAATGGAATTATACTCTACCATAATGTACAAGTTCTGCTCTCATATCAACTAAACAAATACCTTGGTTAATTTAAATATCGGAAGATTTCAGTAGAAACATTCGACTTCTAGACGTCAAGTTACCCACATTCCAAAGATGGGTAAATCGAAGCAATAGCTTTCAGAATATCGGTGTATTATTCGGTGTTTATGGAAATTATATCTGCTAACAAGAATGATGGTGCAACCCTCTTAAATTTTTATGGAGAAAATCTTCCGATCATTTACCAGCTGCTCCGTATTTATTCAACTAATTCCAGTAATAACAGGTTCCAGAGGTACGCTGAATTATTACTATTTTTTTCTTTAGTTCCTAGAGGAACATGGGGCTTCAGCCCCACATCTCTATTGCGTTCAGGTCTCTGCTAATGTTTTCACTTGGCTCCACGTCTGCCCACATGCTTTCATCTCCTCTTCACATCACCTCCTCCATGTCACCCTTGCACTGAGAACCAACTCACCACTTCCCATTCGGGTTCCACTGGAGCAATGGCTTGGCGTGCGATGTAACTCACTTCATGGTTTTCTCAGAGTATGGCCAATCCACCTCCATTTCTTCCTGTATATCTGTTGCAAAATCAGTTCCTGGTTGCTTCACTCCCAGAGATACCTGTTTCTCATCTTTCCTGGCCGGCCATCTGATCCTGAGAGAAGTATTGAGCGAAGACAGCTACTGGTGAAGGTCTGTAATTTGTTCGAGGTGCCTTTCGTGACCCGGTTCCAAGTCTCTGATCCATAAAGTAGCACTGACGTCACATTGCAATTGAAAATCCGGATCTTAGTTTGCATGATGGGTGCTGTTGATCTCCACACAAACTTGAGAGTAATGAATACCTGCTTTGCCTTCTCGAACATCACCTTGGTATCCTTATCAGCTTCGTTCGCCTGTAGTTGAAACGATGTTTCCCAGGTCTGTAGGTGGGTAGATAAAAGAGCTTGTTTCTTTCAGACGAGAAGTCTGGCTGGTTGTTGTTGACCAGGAATTTCCATCACCTCTGTTTTCTTTATGTTCACCTGAAGTTCTACCTTCTCTAGATGCTTCTTCTGCCAACCTGTTTATTTTCGTCTCTTACACATTTTCCAGTTTGCGAGAAATCAGACGACAAATTAGAACAACTGGTTTATGAAGTCACTCATTAACCAATACGTTTCGGTTCAGCAAACACATTAGTAATAATAATAAAACATTTCAAGCCATACAAAATATTCACTTACAATGACTGTGCATGCTTTTTGAATTCATCCTGTTGAAGAGAAATGCATTAACAGATTTAAAATCTTTAGCAATGAAAACCAATGAACACATCTTCCATTAAACGAAATTGGAATACATATTTTGACAAGCATATAGTTTTTTTATGTAAGATTATGCTATACTAATTTTTCACTAAATGATCTTAGACGATCGATATCTTTTTTTCCCTGAAGGATGACTGAAAGTACATGCTTTTAAAACATTGCTGCGCAAACAATACCAAAATCGTCTTCAACATAAATTTATAGAACTAAGGTGATAGGATCTAAAAACTTCAATTGTAAAAGAAGCCATGTGACTGATATTTAGTCCTATCAGCATATAATTGAATACGATTAGTTGGAAAATGAAAACTTACACAATTAATGAAACCGAAAAAATCTGAAAAAAATTCAAAATACTAAAATATATTATGGCAGTGCTACTATACGGATCAGAAACTTGGTGCGTCATAAAGATCATCTCAAACAAACTTCAGACCTTCATTAACAGCTGTCTTCGCTCAAAACTCAAGATCAGATGGCCGGCCAGAAAAGATCAGCAACAGGGTGAGATCTCTGGGAGTGAGCAAATCCACCAGGAACCGATTGTGAAACAAATAGGCAGAAAGAAATGGAGATGGATTGACCATACTCTGAGTAAAACAAACCATCTAGTGACATCACTAGACAAGCCATCGCTCGAGTGCAACCCGAAGGGGAAGCGGTGAGTTGGTCGTCCAAGGGTGACTTGGAGGAGGTCACACGAGGAGGAGATGAAAGCATGTGGACAGACCTGGAGCGGGGTGAAAAAGTTGTCAGAAAACAGAAGGCGATGGAGGTGCACAGCTGAAGCCCTATGTTCCTCTAGGAACTAAAGGATACAATAATAATAATAAAATATTATGGAATGCGGTAGGAGGTATTCTTCAGCAAGAATATACTCGGATGGATGTCTCCTGAAATGATGACAAAAAGAAGAATTCTAAGCTTTTTCATTACATTATTTACATTCAACTAAATAATTCAATATACAGAAATACAGGCTTTGGTTGATATCAAAGCACAAGAATACTAGCCAATGTCCTGTAAATATCTCCAGGCGTCATCTGAGAGTATTTCCTGCAGTCACAATGAAAATAAAATAAAATGTTTTCTAAAAGTAAAACTCTTCATTTCATCTCCATGACTCAATATTTAGATGAACACTGTCACAAACAAAAAACATGTAAGACTAGTATGAACTGATATGATTATGAACAATAAATTGTGTTCGAAACGTCATCCAGTATACAATACTGTTTCACTGTGTGATACATTTAATAAACAAACTAATATGGAATTAGTATGAATTAAGCGTTTTCCCGATGTTGTTCTATGCTCGTCTCATTTACAAAAACAGATAAGAAGATTTTTGTGCTATTTTAAAAACTGAGACAAAGAAAACGAATAAAGGCACATCATCAATGGTAAATTGAATCAGAATATAAGTCATTTGAATCAACCCAGAAGATTAAACTTTTGAGATCTAGTTAGTTGAACTGTTCTGTCATAGATATTAGTGACGAATTTTTCTCTTGTCTATTGAATAAAGTATGCCTAAACCATGTTCTAGTTTCAGATGCTTTGTCAAAGAAAGTAAGCACATCTCTCAGCACACTATATATTTACTTCATATAATACTAAAGTGTATTTCAAACCCTCTAATTCTCTTGAGAAAGCTTTGGTGAATATCAAAGATGTCGTTGTCAAAATGTCACACAGTAACCGTGGCTATAGGATAAAGTTTTCATAATGTGAAGCTTTGCTAATATAGAGAAGAGCAGTAGACAAGTGAAGGTCACAGTGAATGAACCTAGACTATGCATGAATCGTCCACCTAGAAATGAAGTAGAATTAAAAAGTTTAGAGAAAAGATTGACTATAGCAATGCATGCTATCTATGGACAGCGGACATACAATTCATTTCGACAATGTCAAAATTCTTGGAAGAGGGTATCATTCACATAAAGAAAGGTTGACCTCTGAAGCCTTGTATCCTTCAAAGACATCGAATGTAGTAAATATGAAAGAAGAGGTTAAGCAGCACAGATGAAAAAACAATGAAAACCTCTATGAGCCTTCAAGACCTTTAAAAAATGTATTAACATGTTTATCACATGTGAATTGACGTCTTTTCTAAATGACAAATGATATACACTCTCACATACAGATAAATATACACGACAACCATTTGACATTAGTCATTACAATTATATATGATAACTGTTTACATATTTCTATTGGTAAAAATGTCTATCAACAAGTGATGTTCAAATGAACTGACTTCACTTTATGTATATATATATGTATATATATAATTAAAAATATTTCCAACGATGCTTACCAAAAAGATGACAAAGAAAGCCGGCATCATATGATGGTAAATTCAGCAGAACTGAAACAGAATAAGACATCACTGGTAACCTAAGAACACCAGAAATGCTTTCATTATTCATTGAAAAAACCATTTTACAGATTGTCTTCTCTATTTTGATCTTAGTACTAAGCATTTAGGGGTAACTGAATTTCGATAATTACTTTAATGAATAGTCATAAACACTGAATGATAAATAGGTGTACTGTTTACTTCTACATTTCTTTAATCAGCAGCTGACGTTTCAATGTTGCCTCCATGTTTACGGAATGAGCATTCTGGTAAATGTTTCTAAGAGTATGCCTGAATTATAACTATGAGTAACAGTATAACGTTTCACTTCAAAGGGAAACAGGCTAATTTTTCAGTATCAATAACTCCTAAGGAGAGGCAGTCAAATATATAACCCCGGTGAGTGCTTGCCGATGAACAGTCCCAAAGTAGGACGCGACAGCGGTCCAGTACTCCCAGGTTTTCCAACCGTTCTCTAACTAATGTCAGTTCATGATGAAATCCTGTAACGAAATATATATCACATTGCTGATTAGACACTAGTTGGTCACAAGTGTAATGTGTCTAGTCCTTGGCGTTGGTGCAGAGTGAATTACATCATTCAATTCCTTTATGGATAAAGTGTATTTTCATAAAGTCTCACAGAGTTGTTGTACAGTAATTTTTACTGATGACCACTTTCCTAGCAGAATTCATTACTGCTCATAATAATATCAAGGTACTCACACAACTTTCTAACTTCGTTTGTATAATTGACGGATGAGACGAATTGAAGTGTAAGTGTTTAGTTAGTTAAGTGTCTAACAAACCGAGTAGTAGCACAGATTAGGACATCAAAAAACCTAAATTATGTAATGAAACAGATAGAAGTATTATTGGTATCAAATAACTATCCTATAAAATGCATTAGGAATATCAGAAAGGCCAAAAGCAAAATAAAAATAATGGTAAACCTAATAATGATAACATAAATGAAAGAGAATACAAGGCATCTACTGTTATACCACATAAGGAGAGGACATCTGGGACCGTATGTAGGATTCTTAATAAAGCGGGAATTAGAGTGACACATGCACATCGAGGGTGTGGCTATCATGATGTCACCAACGGAAACCATGACCCTGATGCCATCGGAGGTGATTTCACCCAGGATATTGACTGCAAGATTCAACTCAAAAGGAAGGAACTTGTCAGTTATACAGTGAATTTAACCCGCAAGCAACGCAGACCTAGAAAAGAAAGTTGAATGCTACAGACAACTACAGGCAGCAATGGACAATACTGCAGTTGGTGACATTAAAATACTAATGGGAGATATGAACGCGAAACTGAGACCAGATAACACAGGAAGAGACCTCATTATGGGTACAGAGGCCCTTGGAGAGATAAATGCAAATGGAGAACTCTTTGCTGACTCCTGCGCCTTCAATGGACTATTCATTGGTGGCAGCGTGTACAGGCACAGTGATATCCCCAAGGCAATATCGGTCTCACCAAACGGGCGAGCCAAAATCTAAACTGACTTTGTATCAATCCCTCTCAAGGATTTGAAACACAGCTTACTAAACACAAAATTAAAAAGAGGAGTAGATGTTGTCTCAGACCACTATCTCGTGCAAGGAACACTCCAAATCAAATTAAAAACTTTCAAGGAGACAGAAGCTACAGGTAGACCACAAGCCAAGTTCAATACTCAAAAACTGAAGGATCAGGTCACAAAGGACATCCTCGCCGCAAACATAAGGAAAAGGGCGGAGGCACAAATCAACACTACCGAAGAGACCAACGTTGAAAAACGCTGGAACAGACTGAGAGCAGTGTGAAGTCAAGCCTGCATGGAAGTTTCAGGCAGAAAGAAGAGACAAGACAAACAGTGGCTCACTACAGACACATGGAGAATAATAGAAGAAAGAAGGATGGTGAAACAAAATATTATCCATTGCATCGACGAGCGACAAAAACAGGAGTTGAATGCAAGCTGCAATACATTCAACCAAATAGTAAAGAAGGGTGCCAGGGAAGAAAAAGACGATATTATGAAGCTAATGCAAGTGAAGCAGAGCAAGCTGCAGTGTAGCTAAAAAATACCTCGCAACACTCTACCAAACAACTAGGTTCCTATCGGGGAAACGTTCAGCACAAATTAGGCCAGTAAAGGATTATAATGGATAGTCAATCACCGAAAAGTTGAAGCAAAGGAAACACTGGGCTGAACACTTCAAAGAACTTCTAAATTGATCGCCACCTACAGCGCGCCCAATAATACCAACAGCGGAAGCAGAACTACCAGTGGACGTCAACCCTCCGACGAGAAAAGAAACCCTGAAGTCAATCAAGATGCTAAAAACTGCAAAAGCAGCAGGACCAGACGGAATCCCAGGTGAGGCACTGAAAATAGACCCAAAACATCAGCGGACTTCATGACACCACTACTGCAGACGATGTGCAAAGAGAGCAAGGCACCTGCAGATTGGAAGAAAGGCTATTTACTTAAACTGCCAAGTAAAGGAGACTTAGGTCATTGCAAGGACTGGCACGGCATTAAGATCCTGTCCATCTCATTCGAAATACTAAGCCGTGTCATCCTGGAGAGAATCAAATACCCCTGGGATGAAAACTATGACCGGAACAGACTGGATTCAGGAGGAACAAGTTATGCGTCGATCAAATCGCAACGCTATGCATCACCATTGAACAGAACTTGGAACTGCAGTCGGTCAGCTCTCTATCTCAACCTCATTGACTTTGAAAAGGCCTTCGATCTAGAAGTAATTCAGTAACTACTTCGTTACTACGGAGTGCCACCAACAGCTATACATTTCATCCAACAATTGTAAGACAATACTACATGCCGAGTAATACGCAACGGGAAACTCACGGAATACTTCGGAGAAGTAAAGACGGGAGTAAGCCAAGGCTGGCTAGCTGCTGCCTTCTCCAATGATTTCCTGATTCTGGTAGACTGGATAGTGCGACAGAGGGTATAAGACAACGAGGAGAAAGGTACAAAATGGACCCATACAAAAACTTGGAGGATCTGGACTTCGCCAATGACATATATATTTCTGATTTCCCACAAACTGGAAGATGTGCAAGTGAAAAGCAACAATTTGGCTGAAAAAGCATCAAAGATAGCACGGACTTCAAGTGAACATATAGAAAACAGGGGTGATGAAGATTCTTGACCAGCAGCAACGGCAACAACAACAATCAGCATAAATGGGCAAAATCTAAAAAAAAACAACCTCCTGTACCTACGCGGGAGGCATCATTTCAACTACAGGCGGGACTGGCGAGGATATCAAAGCAATGATCAGGAAAGCGAGGCAAGCTTTCATAACTCTCAAGTCTGTGTGGAGGTTCACAGCACTCAGGATCAAAAATAAGATCCGGATTTTCAACTCCAATGTGAAATCACTGCCACTATAGAGTTCAGAGACTTGACGCGTCACGAAGGGCACTCCGAACAAACTACATACCTTCATCAACAGTTGTCTTCGCTCAATACCACTCGAGATCAGATGGCCGGCCAAAAATGATCGGTAACAGCAGAAACCCATGGTGAAAACATATTCAGGAAAAAATTGAATAAGTCAGATTGGCCTCACTCTGAGAAAACAAATCATCAAGTGACATCACACACCAGGCAACTGCTTGAGTGGAACCCCAACAGGAAGCGGCCAGTTGGTCGTCACTGAGAGGGTGACACGGAGGATGTCATGAGAAGAGGAGATGAAGGCATGTGAGCCGACGTTGAGCCAGATGGAAACGTTGACAGGGAACCGAAAGCAATGGAGATGTGTGGCTGAAGCCCTGTGTTCCTCTTGGAACTAAAGGAAACAATAATAATAGAGTTGAATTTAAACCTACAAACGCACTAAGGGACAAGCTCTGTAGGTTAAAGGACATTGTAAGTTTACCCAATTAGAAAAAATAATATAATTTACAAAATACCTGCAATGACTCTGAGGCTAACTACATAGGTTAAATTAGTAGGTAAGGGATAGTCACATTGTAGGAGAGTTTAGCTAAGGTAAGAATGGTTGACCCCAAGAAGATAAGTAACTTAGAAAAAAGCTCAGCAATTGAACTGCATGCATTAACACACAACCACATAATACGTTGGGTGGGAGAGGGTTGAAATTCTAAAAAGTAATATAGGTAGGTGTAGAGAGAGAGAGAGAGGTTGATTACTGAATCCTTGTTCATCGAGTCTACACCCAACACATGCAATAGGAATGATTCATCACTCATCTCGGAAATATGGAAAATAATACAACCAATAAAATCAAGAGATTGCAAATAATGGAATTATATAAACGAAGTTAAAAAGTTGTGTAAGTAATGCCTTGATATGATTATGAATAGAAATACATTGTGCTCGAAACGTCGTAAGTAAACATTACTGTATAACACTGTGAGACTTTATCAAAACAAATTTTACCCATAATGGAATTATACTCTACCACACTGCACAAGTTTTATTCTTATATCAATGCTACATCAGTCACGTTTGTGATGCATCCACCATCCCACAAGGAGCATGAGTACCTGCAAAGTTGCACCATGCCGACGTGTGCCAACTAGCACGACACCAAGGTCAGGCAAGGCCTCCTGCCGATTGCATCCAACCACCTTATGTAAATATCACATTATGTTGAAGTGTATGAATTCATAAACCTTGCTAATTCCTAATAACACAATCTATCATTTGTTTTCCCATGAACTTCAAATGAGTGACGCAACCAAATCTTATATTAAAAAACATACTTTCACAAATAAATGCAAAGGCGTCCAATATGTTCGCAGACCTATTCATAGCAAGCCGAGAACGATTCCACAGTTGAGACATCCTAAATAAATTGTTCCATTTTAGCCTTGATTATATTTCGGAAGTCTGCATGAAACTTGGGCTGGCAAAAATTTCCATCATTATAGTTCACAGAATTCCCCTAATACACTTTGATTTAATCTGCATTCTATGACCACAAATAATTTCATTCACTCCCGCGAGTGCTTAAGATGTTTATAACCTGCTAATTTTCAAGTATCTGTCTATTTTCTTTTTTTTTGTATGACTTGTTTCACTTTGATGAAATGAACATTGTCAAGTATGCGGATGATCTGACTGTTTCAAGGCCTATTAACTCCCATTTAGACTGAACTAAGATGAACAGCTTCTAACAGTCTGCGTCTAGTCGTCTTAAACTAAATCCTTTCAAAGGATAGACTTTTCAATTCATTTCCTGATGTAAAGAAAAGTTAAATGAAGCTGTTAATTCCTACGACTGTTGCAAAATTGATGATACTGATATAGAAATCAAGTCTGAAGTTCAGTATCTTGGGTAAATTCTTTCTTCTAACCTATCCTAGTCTTCCCATGTCTAACCGATTTCTAAAAGAATATTTCGTCTGACATTTTGCATTAGGAAATTAAGGCACTTAGACAAAGCTCAGAACCCCCTCATCTTAGAGTTTGTCTTCTTTATTGTTCACCGTTATTCTATCCTGGATTGCTTAAAAATGACAGTGTCATACTTCGTAGAACTCTGAAGACTGTCAGTAGGGCGAGGGGTGTCTGATTGGGCCATATCGTTGATATCGTCATTGACAGGCACTTGATTTCATCCAACAAATTTGTTAAAGGAAATTTCATCAGACTGTGAGCATCCACTTTACCCGCAGCTCCAACCTTGTGTCTCCTCAGGTAAAACAATAAGTCTTTTCAGAATACTTTATGCACATACATCTAAGTTAAAAATTCCACTTTACCATATTTGGCACGTATTTTATGTGATGGAAATAGTGTCAGGCATGAAATAACTAACCTTCTTTGCACTACTTAATAAACCGTTTCTTCCATCCTTACAGTACCAAACTTTATTGTTATCGTATTTCTTATATTTATAATCCTCTCAATTTTTTGTTTTTATTTGTTTATTTTTTTCATAAGTACGAACATCATTTAAGCTGTGGAATAGCTGTTAATTTTGCCTTATTCTCTCACCACACTATATCAAATGAACATTCAATTCAATAATCTATAACATGCTAAAATTTCCAAACAGAATCGACAATACTCTTTGAAACAAACTCACTGTTATTGTTACTATTTTTATCATCATCATATTTATTATTTTATATAATATTCTTATTTTGTACTTCAAATATTTTCGACTTTATATCGTGAATGTGGACAAATTCCTCTGGTTAATTTTGCCTTAATTTTATTTATATTTTAAGTAAATCATATGCAAGATATTGTGGCAAATTCTGAGAATTCCATTCTGCATTATAAGTCATGTTTATGGAATAAAGTAGATTGTTATTATTATTATAATCATTAACTTGAAGAAACGGTTAATCGTGGGTGGTAAAGTATTCCAATGCATGAAATAACTATTACTAACATCTTTCATACAAAGTACCCCTCCACAAAACATGAAGCCAATTATCTGAAGTCATTAATCATTTAGCTATATCCTTGAGAATGTGAATGTACTGACTGGATTTCAATCAAATGTCGTGCATATCTTGGAGACAAGGATGAAATATCAAAGACCAGTGGTTTATGATTCAGGTCATAAAGTATTGTATCATGCGACCTACAGTCAATTATCGCTTTACATGTGGATTTCAAACATATAGAGAAGATAATGCAATCGTTTCTACTGGAAACCCTCAACATTACATATAAACAGTTTTGAATAAAGTTATTATCATTATCAAATATGTTCACTTACTCAAAATAACCATAAATTGTAATAAATAAAATGCTTTCATGAAAGTCATCGATAGTAGTTGTTTCTAAAGAGGTTATTCCGTCCAACTGACTATTCTATTAAAGTCTCATACATTTATATGTAAGTGGAAAATGTCATAACAGGATAGGAGACTTATGGGTGTTTCTGATGCGTAAGATTATAACAGTCATGTTTTGTGAAATTAAACAGCATGCCTTGTCAGTTATGTCAAATAATGACGTTTAAACCCTTGGTGCTTGTCAAGAAAGCGTTTATTGCATCTGTAAAACTGTTAAATATGACGGCTTTGGTTATTCTTGTTCATTCTTGTCTTATAAGCCCTATGAAGTAAAGATGAAACGGAGTAGGCAAAATAAAGCATGTTTCAATACTATCTTAATCAATAAACAGTCATTTTACTAATGTTATATGACATAATATTATTCTACATTTGCGCATTTAACAACTTCGAAAGTTATCAAAATAATGTTGGGTCATAATGAAAACTGTACACTGGAATAAACGTCTACGTGGATTACTGTGAGAGGATGTTTTCTACTCTGCTGACAAGTGAAAGTAAAATTGCGTGAATCAACTCAAAATAAACAAATGAACACAGTCTATGCTCGGGCAGCACAGCATTTAGGACACTCGCCGACCATGCATATGCTCTGGGGCTCAATTCCAGGCCTGATATCGATGGTCGGCCGGCTAAACTTGGGCTACCGATATCACATGCTGAAAATTCCATACTTGCACCAAAATACTGTGTGAAATCAAGCTATATTAGAAAGAAGAGAAGAGGAAGTTTAACAAATATGGCGATCCTTTTGGCGATTTCATTTTCAAAAGCTGTAAAATCTCATTAAAATACATAATTTGACATAGATAATATTTTTCTCTTGATTCCACATATGAAGGTGAATAAAAGATGATAATTTTTTTCAACTAGATATGGTTTATGAGAGGCTTAGAAACAAAATTACACAGGATTAGAACGAATTACATGTGTGTAAAAATAAGCATGGAAACAAATTGGAAAAATAATTTTCAACTTGAAATGGAAGTTAGGAGGTGTGAATATAGATTACGAGAGGCATAGGAACAAAAATTACACAAAATTAGGATATAATTGTAAAACAGTAATTTTAAACGAATCGTAACTGCCCAGCAGGAAAAACTGGAAACAAACTTAAGATAACTGTTTTTATAACTGAAAAATTGGGATGAATCATGCACACAGTGAACAAAAAACATAGGCTAAGGGAATACACCGAACTAGGTCCATGGTATTATAGAGACTGGACTTATTTCTTCTGAACACAAAGCTCCGGCTTTTTGATGCATATTGAGAGGGCTTCTGTAGTACAGAGAAGTCAGAAATGTACTACTATTGGTAGTTTTCCCTTGCATTTGTAAATTACTTTGAATGAATCAGTTGAGATGTTGTGGAAGGTGTTGATCGGATGTTCAGTAGTGACACTTCTGATTGAACTGATGCCTCCTCTTTGCAGCCACGCTGGGTAATATTCTCTTACACATTTCGAAGGGACGAGCATATAACGGCCTATGTAGCTAGCTCTTCAAGAGCAGATAAACTGGTATATGATCACTGAATTCGTCATATGCGAGAGTTTGTCCGTAGCGTTGTTTCGAAGTATTAGATGGCTAGATAACGTCAGTGTTGCTGCAGGGAAGGTCTTCTTTAAAAAGCTGAAAAGATGAGATGAAATGAATGAAGACAGGAAGTGTACAGATCACACACAGCGAAAGAAAATAAGATCAAAAAAGAACGAAAGAAAATTAACCGAAGCTTTGGGAACATACCGAACCATAGCTAGTTGAAAATAACTGTCACTTTTTATTCGCCTTCATAATTATGTGAAATCAAGTAAAAATTGTATCTATGTAAAATTATGTATTTAAATGCTATTGTACGGCTTTTGAGAATGAAATTGCGGAAAAGATATCTTTCCTGGACTTCCTGTTCTCTTATTTCTAATGCCCTTATAGGTGTTTTCCACAATGGAAATCACGCTTTAATCAACTAAAAATTATTGTTAATGAGCGATTGATAAAAATACTCCACAATCGACTGTTTTGACATCGAGACGATACACTATTCTTTACAAAACCGGCATACTGATTTCCTTTACATTTAGATAACTAACATATGCTCATTAAAGAGTGATGGGTGATAAAATAATACGAATCTAGGTAAGTCTGTCAATTGACATTAACTAAACTATCATCCTGAAAAAAGCTACAGTTTTGGATGCATTAAAATCTCACGAAATTCACCGAACATTTTAAGTCAGTCAATTCACTCAGAAAACATGCAGCAAAATAATTATGTCCTTTATGAGTGAGTATAAGACGAGATTGACTGGAAAAAATATTGAACCGTAAAATGTAGAGATCTGAGTCGTCCTCCTTTGGAAGGATGTCCTCCAGGAGGCGTGAACTGTGATTTTCTTTTTATAACAATTTTAAAATGCTTGTGGAAAACATTTTTCACAGCAATGCTTAGAGTAATATTCTCCTGTCATCTGATGGATTACACATGATCTCACATATCTCTATTTATGTGTATAGATCAGTACACCTGTTCGTCTGGAGTCAAATTTATCAATAATTTGACGATTTTCTAGTATGTAAAGGCTTAGTACGGTTGCGATTAAGTGTCGGTAGGCTCACTACGCAGTGCACTGAATGAATGCTACATGGATACTCTACTTTATTCTAGTTCAACTGATTCCTCTCTGAAAGCGATGAACAAAGACCTGTCAACGACAATAGACTTTCATCACCCCCAGATAAAGAGACTGGAACTTTGCACAACGAAGAGTATTTCGCACTCTTGTTTCCAAGTAATTTGACATTTTCGAATTATTTTCCTCTCTTAATAATATATGCATTCTGATCACAACTCATTCAATAAATTACTTGTCTCGTTGCGAAAGTGGAACAAACTTAATTACAGTTTTTATTTATTGATTGAAGTCACTCAATTTGATTATGATATTTCTTGACTTTCGTTAATATACACTTTTTTAAAATTCATACTATATATAGAAGCGATTGCATGGCTTCTGAGACAGAAAGAGATCACAAACAGTGACTGCAACGAACCAGTTGTATTGATTTTTTGCAAGTGTGATTAGTCATCACCCTTATTGCTAAAGTCATAAGGCAAAAAGTAAAGGGTTAACCTTTCGAGAAAAACAAAACAGTGAGCTTCACTCACCAAACCAGCTATTGATTTCACAATTTCGAGTTCTAATCAGTTGTACTTTTAACCAACCAATCACTTCCTTTCATTTTGTCGATTTTTTTTTGAAAGTGTAAACTGGAGAAAGTTGTCATTTATTGCATGTGACAGGCGAAAGCTGGATTAATCTGCACTTTGTCATTATTGCCGAAATTCTCTGAAGAAGGAGGCATGGAGGTGAGTCTGTCTATCATTGTGCATGTTGACTGTTTTTTGAATCATTTTTGATTATCATAAAACACTGTCCAAGTTTATTTTGACATTTCGGTGGATAATGAAATCTGTTACAGTTAGAACCTGACTTGAACTGGTTACGTTATCCTCTCTCGGTCACCCTCTCTGTGCGGCCATTTACACGTATTTTCTCTCCTCTAATATGATTGATTTAAACTGAGGCATGGATGAATGTTAGTTAACACATTTGTTCATCCACTTCTATGAGCGCTACATTCCTCCGTCATCGACATCGATGTTCATTTCATCGAAATGACGAAAATGATCAATGGCGACGGAGGATTCTTAACTAATTAGAAACATTGCAACTAACAGAAATTGAGGTTAGAATTCTAGTGGACGCTGAATCGAAAACAATTCTATTATTGATTAGTCACTACATTTTACTATTCATAGTGCGAGTTTATGCGAATGACTTGTCGCGCACGCTCCACTAGTCGAGTGACCCACTTCAATCTGAGCTAGGTGTGACAGTGTAAACTCGTGTACTGTTTGTGCCAGTGGACATATATATACTTGTGTACGAAAACATAATACCGATCCAGATATCTTAAGCACGTTGTCTGGCGCCTGCAACGGTGAGTTATTCCTTCCTGAACAGATCAAATTGTTTTGATTTGGTTGTGTTCTCTGCGCTGGATGGTTAATTTACGAAGCTTTCATCACCCTACTGGGTGACATCTTCAGCTTATACTTCAATTTGAAGTGAGCTTTTAGATTTCTCCACGAGTTCATTATTCATCTCTCCTGGTGGATGACCTTGGACGCGATTGGTTGTTTGTGTGTGTTTTCACACCTTCTAGGTTACTTGTATTGGAACGGATTGTTTCTTTGACTTTAACTTTGACCCTTTGTGTGTGAAGTTTCTTTCTTATCGGTTCATACATTTTGTCTATCTCTATGTGTCCATTGATTGATAATTCACTGGAATGTCAAGCTTCTAAAAATTCTCCAGCTAGCATTCTTGGTGTTTCCTCTGTCTAATATTTGAACATTGTCCCAGTCTAATTGATGTCCGTGGTTGTCTGTGTGTAGTGATATGAGAGATTGGATGTCAAGTCTTTTGACGTGGATACGAGGACGATAAGCGAGGTTCATTTGGCCAATGTAGTGTTTTCGCAGTTGTTACAATTTAATAATAATAATAACAGCTTTATTCCAAACAGCATTTGTAGTACAGGTATGGAATTTTCAGCGTGCATTACAGTATATTGCAACTAATTACCTCATAAATTATATAAGATTTTTAAAAATCAAAAATAAATAAAAATAAAATAAATAAGTTATAAATAATTAAAATAAATAAATATTAAAAATTAAGAAAAAAAACAGCGTAGAGTATTTCATTTCAAACAATGCACCACAGGATTTGAAATATAAAGTTGATGTGTGGTAGTAGATGAGAACAACAGTGTAGTAGTAACGAGGAAAGGAAAACAAAAACTAATGAGACTATTTGTTAGAGTGCTGCAGTAAGTTTGTCGTGTCATACCTAACGGAGTTCTCATCACATAACAGCTGTGCCAGATATGGTATTGTGGAGTTTTTGTATTTGGTAGTCCTAGCATATAGCCTCCTGTAGCTGCTTCTAGTTCTTCCAGATGAAATGCAAGGAGATAGATGCGTATAGAGAGGATGCTCGGGGTCTGACAATATTGTATTCGCTAGTTTCTTACATGACATAATATGTCTATCTACAATAGTGTTCACCAGTTGGTTTAACGATATCCCACTTGCCCTACTAACAGCTTTTAGTGCCCTTCTCAGCGAAGCAAAGTCTTTCTTAAGTAGTCCAGGAAAGACTAATGGGGAGCAGTAAAGGAGGATGGGTAGAATACAAGAATTTACAAACTGAGAAAGCAAAGACTGCTTAATGCCAGACTGCCTAAATTTCCTAATGTAGAACGTTAAGCGAAACACCATTCTAGTAACTAGCAAGATGTGGGAAGACCAGGAAAGATAGGTGGAAAAACTCAGCCCAAGGTACTTGACATAAGATGTATTTTCAACCTCTGTGCCGTCAATGAGAGTGGGGCCATGTGAGCTAACTAGTTGCTGTAGGTCACATTTACGTCTGAAAGTGAAATTGACTACCTGACATTTAGACGGATTAAGCTTAAGTCCGTTTAAAGAGGACCACTGACTAATTTACGACAGAAAGCTATTTAATTTAGAACAGTCTGACTGAGAGTTAACAGGCATAGAAACCGAGGGAAATTTGTAGATGATGTTGGTTTTATCTTCTTCCGCTGTTGAGTCTTTTGGTTGACATAGAATTAAGTGAAGCAACTTTGTTAGTTTGTATACGACATCAATTTCTAAAGGTTTGAAGAGTCTTGTGGTGATTTCTGAGATATCCTTAATGTATGGTAAGGCGAATTTCCTTTATGCTTTCCTTGGGGCTTTTGGTTTGCCCTCAGTGAATCATCAATCAATGGACACATAGAGATAGACAAAATGTATGAACCGATAAGAAAGAAACTTCACACACAAAGGGTCAAAGTTAAAGTCAAAGAAACAATCCGTTCCAATACAAGTAACCTAGAAGGTGTGAAAACACACACAAACAACCAATCGCGTCCAAGGTCATCCACCAGGAGAGATGAATAATGAACTCGTGGAGAAATCTAAAAGCTCACTTCAAATTGAAGTATAAGCTGAAGATGTCACCCAGTAGGGTGATGAAAGCTTCGTAAATTAACCATCCAGCGCAGAGAACACAACCACATCAAAATCATCCACCTGAACGTCGGTGGCGTCGGTGGCACAGTATTTAGGACTCTCACCGACCATGCACATGGTCCGAAGTTCGACTGTCTGCCGACGCACACCTGATATCTATGGTCGGCCTGAAAACTTTGGGCTACCGATATCCATGCTGAATATTCCATACTTGTACCAAAAATACAATGTGGAATCAAGCTGTAATCAAAATTAAATTTAAAGAAAATTAATTAAAATCTAATTTAATTAATTAATTAATCTTCTCTATCATATCTAGATCAAATTTTCTTCATATATTAGTTTGTAGCAATCGACTAAGCCACAGTGCTGTTATCAACCGTTCACAGCATCAGTTTTCGACATCACCATGGTCTGATGAATTTCGATGTATTGTTTAGCCAACCAGGATTTAAATGACTCAGGGTCTGCTTCGCTTGGTCAAATGCATTTGAACACTGATGGCATCTAACTTGCAGTAGTACAACTCGGGACTTGTTTTTTCGTTACTTTCATCATTCAATCGACGTCGTTGATTAAATGGCTTGTATATTCACCTCAATTTTCATCTCCCTTGCTCATTAACCCTGAACAGAAAACAGCAATGTTAGGCCTTCTAAGTTAACTGTAAATGGACAAAGCAGCACTTAGCAACATACCTGTTTTTGTATTTAGCCTTCAGCCATTAGTCTGACTAGTAATTTGTCGCTTGTCCACATGTTGGCTTGTGTTACTTGTACACTTCAGAAATGATATCTACCAGTTTATGACATTTGACATCATCTTGTGTTCATATAATTTCATATCACCATCTGGATGGTTGTGATTTTCGAAGGAATTCCTTGACCTATTTAATTCGGAAGAGAGAGAGGGAATGTCTCAGCCTTCTGGCGATTTAGTCATTCCAATTCAAATAGGGATTTTGTCGTGGACTGCAATTGGGTAAGAGAAGTAATGAAAACAGAGTAGCACCGAATGTAATTATTTCCCCCCCCATGAGTCCCCTTATCAATCTACAAAAATCAATAGCCAGATGGTATGACAAGCACATAAAACATGTGATTATGACATAAGCAGACACCAAGAAAATAGCGTTTAGTAGGAGACACTCCCCAGGAGATACGGATTCAGCCTCTCGTGTATTCGTCCATGTGCAGCTCTGAGGAGCTTGAAAGTAAAAGTGAGCATCCCTTCATATCCACTTAGTTTTCAATGCCCTGCTCACAGGCAGATACGATCGTAAATGTTTGTTAACCAATCATCCGAATGACCACACTTCATTGACACAATCTTACTGTGTAAAGGATATCAGGGGTTATCTATTTACAGCACGAGACTCCTACAAGTATTATCATCTCTCAGGGTTGCCGAATTCTCTATCACGATTAGCATGAGAAGATGGTGGTGTATAAATCTGTTCACTGTTAATGAAATGTACATTTTATTTCTCACAGATGGATGATAAACGAGGGAATAACAGTAAACAAAGGATGAAAGTGGAGGAAAATGATGTGGTGAACAATGGAGAACAAGAAACACAGAATATCACTGGACGTGATCAGTTATTTGTACCAATGTCAGCAGTCGTTAATCTACTCCACACAGCGATAGAAAGGATTATTTCATTGAGTTCTGTGAATCGATCGATTCATCAAGTAAAGAAAGTAAATAAATCTACTCAAACGGTAGACGAAACTGAAGCGATGATTTCGACTGGGAAGTCAATGCATGAACATGAAGATGTGACAGCAGGAGACTACTTCTCCGACTATCTTCGTAACCAAGAGCTGTACAAGGCATTGTGGAAGTAAGTTTACCTTTCAGAATTTGTATTCACATTTGTCCTTATCAAATATCACACATGATTTGAAGGACATTATTTATAGAATGTAAAAAGTTCCCGCGGACAAATGAGTTAGTGCAATGGTGACGTACATCCACTTCGTGAAACCTGTAAGTAGGCCTTTGAAGAGTGTATATTTGTATGAGGGGTTGATCAGCGAAAGGTGTTCCTCACATGAGCCAACAGTGACATCCAGATTGAGTCATAGTAATTTGTCAGATGATTGATATTGATTGAAACAATTAGTCCCTTTTATAAATTTGGATAGCTCTATTAGAAGACGGAGATTATCTGATAGACAATGTGATGTATTTGTGCTACACATTTGGAGCAATCTGATCCCTTACACATTTACTTGTAAAGTCGATATATATGAAAAAATTAAGGGCAATTAAATTAAACGAAGTGACGGAATAAAAGAATCTGAAAATGATTAACACAACGCGTGGTAATCCAATCAAATAAGGACTACCAAGGTAGCTTAAGAGTAATAATAAACTGTCTTTGAATACACAAGGAGGGGTGGTGCTTAAGTTTATGAATAGTTATAGCCTCAGCGTATTTCAGTAAACGCCCTTCACCGGTTTTGTAGATGACCTTAAAGGCTGAGTTGACATCAATCTTATGGTTCATCTCGTTTAGATGTTTAGCTATAGACGAAGTCGGTATTCTGACACCTGCATCTATTGGCTTCTCACAATTCATCTGTTTTTCTAACCATTTCGAGTTATGCTGTCCCATCCTCACATGCAAAGCGAGATTACTCCTTCCTATGTATGTGTGACCACACACAGACACACACGAAAATTGGTAAACTGTGTGGGATGTGACATAATCACTTGTGCACTTTCGAGGTTTGAAGTGGAGAATATTTTCAGCCTTTTAGACATTTACAAGCTGGGCTGCATAATAGGTTCTGCGGATGATCGAATTCAACCTTTATCTCAAAATCCTACTGTTCATTTCCCTGTTGTATAGTAATTTGATGAAAACATTTTTCTTAGAGGCGGTATAGATTTTAAGTTCAGAGACTAATTGACCTCTATACCTGTTTGAAAATGTTAACGGATATCCGTTTTCAACAGGAGTATCCATCAATATTTCACTTTCTTTATCTATTACATCAGCTGTGCAAGTACGTTGAGTCATCTTAAATAGACATTTTACGAAGCCTCTTTTATACTGTAATAGACAAAAACTGTGAAAATTATGGTATTGCCCTGTCCAAGTGGGCTTTCTGTAGATAGACCATCTTATTGAGCCATCATCTCTTTGACCCAGAAGTATGCCTAAAAATGCTAGCTGGTTGTGACTTTCTTCCTCGCATGTGAGACTAATATGATTCTGTAGAGAGTTATGTCTGTCTAATAGACGACTCGCATCCTCATGATCGTCGCAGATCAAAATGATATCATCTACATATCTCCTATAGAAGGGCAATTTAGAAAGTAAATCAAAGGATACGTTTTCAACATAAGGCATGAAAACGTCCGCTAACAAAGGTTCTAATGGACTCTTCATACAAACGCCACCCACTTGTCGAAAATGTTCGCCTTCAAACGTGAAATGGACGTTATCACTACACAATAATGATAAATCTTTCAAATTAGTTAAAGGGAAATGGAATGAAAAACAAAGAGAAGATATATAGTCACAAGGAATATCAACAGTCTTAATCAATGGTACATTAGTAAACAAAGAATTAACATCAAATGAATACGTTTTCCTATCTTTTATGTTCATATCTACAATTTCAAATGTATCTTTCAAAGTAAACTTACATAATTCATTGCGTACTGGACTTAAAATATCAGCTAGCCATTTCGCTAATTTATGTGTAGGAGAATTACACACTGAAAGAATTGGACGTAATGGATTGTCAACCTTATGAATTTTTGGTAATCCATAGAGGTTTAAAAAGTCAGATCTCTTATTTGATTGGATAACCAAACGTTGTGTTAATTATTCTTATTTTTTGTCACTTTGTTAAATTCAACTTTTCCATATACATTGACTGATGACAGGTGTCTCTTCAAAATCCTCCATCTCACTTCCTCAACACCCTGCCCATTTCATTGCCTACTATTAAGGTCAGGAATTCGGCCGTTTGTATTTTGTGTAGGCAGATTCATGCTGTAGAATCCGAGTATTTGTTAAATCCCTGCTTCCATTTATTACTTTTTAAATGTTCTGAAACACCTTTCACTTTTCAGAGAAAGCTGGGAATCGCCCGCCTTCTGTTGCTTCTCTCACAAGCTTTGAGGTTTTGATACCCACAAGTATTCCATTTACCTCCTATCTTTTTCCCATTCTAATTGACTTTCATAGGCTCCAGTTCCATCACAATAATTTCCGACAGCTTCCTGATTTAAGCTACGAAGGCTATTGGTAGAGTTATTTGAGCTGCTTTAACACAATAATCGATAATCGCCAGCATCAGGTTAAACTTCAAGCTCACCATCCGGAGGTAGACAGTGTCGCCACCTTACACTCAAAACCTACCACCTATCATTTATTAATAATAACTACACTTCGCGTCCATCACAATGTCTGATTGTTTCTGCATTTGTCATTCTGTCTTCTTTGTGATTTGTAGACCAACCACACAACATGAAAACGCATCCAATGGTTCAGAAGACCAAAAAATGAAGGATATCGAAGAAGTTAATAGAAAATCGAACTTCAATGGAAGGCAAATGACAGAAGTGATGCACTATAGCTCGAGTTTCGATTTAAATGGTGAAGAAGGGATAGAAACACACCAATTGTCGTCGTCAATAAGACAACTCCACTGGTCACAATCGACTGCTGATATGAAAGAAGGCGGTATGGCCATGGGTGCAGTGACTTGGAAAAGGGTGTTGAGTGAGGAATCCCAGGACAACACAAAGACAGGCACTGCGGTAGGTTAAGAAAATCATTTGACCTATATGTATTCATCTAGTTTCCAGAGGGTTTTATGTCGGATAGATGCTTGTATTCATTGGTCAGAAAATAAGATGAAATGAATTTAGTCGATTGACTGACTTAGCATGATTGACAACTGTGAGTGTAGGTCAACTTGAAATTCCAGTTTGTTAAGTTGAGATAAGCGTCATAAGGAAAATGTTGAAAAGTGCTGCAAGGCGATCTACATAGCACTAACAGAAGTCCATTGTCGATTTGTAGGAAAACTGAACATTCTCTGATCGCCTTTCACTAAGAAATTCAGTGTAGTAATTGTCCTCACTGAACGGCAGAAATCTTGCACAACTGGGCAGCCAATAGGTGGAAAAACCAATCTCATGTAATCTGAGACATACATTCAGGCGTTCAGCATAAAGGTTGTGGTCTTATCCATGTAAATCCTTCAGAACACCATCTGTAAACAGCATCTCATCAGAGAATTCGTAGTGACCGCACTTATTAATGATTTCTTCTGAAGAAACCACTTATTTCTTCAAAGTATCCAGAGAAGTAATAGCATTTCAGTCACTGTGTGCACCCGATACTCCAATGCACAACACTATTAGTAGATTCCGCTTGCAATTTCCGAAGATGGAGGAAAAATGCAGCATTGTGATGTACAGAATACCACGTTTCAATCTCGGTTAACATTACATTCCGGAAATGGGATGAATGAAGTTGGCCAGATGACAGATAGGCTAGCTATACAATGCCTTGAAACATGCAAATAGCAAAGTAGGTAATGAGACAACTATGAGTTTGGTCCCAATAATCTGAAGAGTGTTGCGTTTCATTGATTTTTTTTTGAACACTAATAAGACTGCACAACCTTCTGAGAATCCAAAAACACATATTTCTTCACTTTCACGTATTTTTTAATGATTGTCTTTTCCTTCACTAAACTCAGGTGGCGAATTCAAATACTCACTCCCAAGTCGGAAGTATCTTCAGTACACCAGTTCGCGAATGTACCACATTCACACCACATTCGTCAACGGACATATGGAATTCTCTGTCTCTATGGAATGACTTCGATCTTGATATTGTGTGCTCAACCACTCACCAGTCAGGCAATACATCCGAGACACAATCAAGAAGTTATGCTAATGCAAATTGGAATGAGTGGTGTAGAAGTGGGAATAGAATCTATTGGGATTCAGTTTTTCAGAAGAGACATGACTGACTGATACCAGTTGGTTTCGGGTAGTGTCAGTTAGTATAGCCAAATATGATTGGTTCAATTTGCATTGCATCATTCCGTGTAATCCTTCATAATAAATATTGGTGAATATTTCTCTGTCATTCTGTTCGTGTAACGCTTTTCGTAAAATCTAAGACAGTTTTGATAGAGTGTGTTAGTGATGAAGTCAGAATTGAATTTTGTGTTGATCACGAGGTCTTTAATCGTGTTGAGTAGGGTGATTTAATGAAGTATCTCACATCCAAACTATAGTCGGAATGATATAAAGTGCGTGAACTACGAATTGCTTGTTCAATTATAGTAGAAACTAAAATCTGGCAAATTAACTTTCTACTCGTCTCTTGTACACGCCTTGGTAATTCAAAACAGAAGAATTTTAACGGGTAGGCTTTTATCAGTTTAGTCATAATGCAGTGAATCTTTGAAGCAAGAAAATATGCATGAGTAGTGGCAATAGGAAATGCAAAATTGAAACGCAGGTTCATAAGTTATCTAAATATACATTCTGTTAGTGAGAAATGATTTCTAGGATCAGGCAGGCATTAGTAAACTGGCACCGTTTGATTGTAGAGTTTGGTACTCGAGAATAAGTCAACTCCTGCAAAATAGGATATATTAGGTTGCGAGGCGTTTGGATTGCATTTAGGAGTAATACAAAACTGACTGCCTATTATCAGCCACATTGATATTCCTAGTTGTGGCGGATTGAATTTTAGGGTGGACAGTGTGTGTGTGTGTGTGCAGAGAGAGAAGACAGACAGAATTTGAATTTATAAAAAATAGTCAAAAAGTCAAAAAATAGTCAAATCAAAAAGTTCAACAAATTATTAGAGGAGAAATCTTCATCTCAGAATAATGAAGTCAACAATCCAAAATCAACGGCGATCGATAAATCAAAGTGGGTTATCAATCTCTCATCACATATATTAAGTCCGATGGAAATAAGTGTATTAGAAAAGGGACTAAACTTCAATGTAGCGGTGGACAAGCTAAAACCTGAGGATGTCATCCCTAAAATAGAAATAGCACTAAGTGGGATAGACAAAACAACAGCTGAAGAAGTACGTGCACAATGTGCACTTACATTAAAACGACAAAAATGTGGAAAACCTAACCTGACAAAACAAGAGACAAAGCCCTAAAACACCTCAAGAATAACAAGGATATAGTAATCACAAAGTCAGACAAAGGGAACGCAACAGTAGTATTAGACAAATCGGACTATTTGGACAAGGTAAATACTCACATACAAACAGGACCATATGAGGAAATTAATAAATCAATAGACACAGTTATGAATAAAGTTAAGAAATCCACAGCGGACCTTATACGCCGAATGAAGCCGTTTCTAGGTGAGTCTAAGTGGTTTAATTTAATGCCAAAAACTAATAACCCCAGTAGGATGTATGGTGTTGTTAAAATTCATAAATCAGGATACCCTATTAGGCCTATAGTTGATTTTAGAAATTCACCTACCTATGAATTATCTAAATATTTAGCCATGGTATTAAATCCCCTAAAAATCCACTCGAAATCTAGACTAACTAATTCTTATGAACTAAAACACAGATTAGATAATTTAAAATTAGATAATGAAGAAAAAATGGTTAGTTTTGACATTGTCAGTTTATATACACGTATACCAATAAATATGGCTATAGAGGCGGTCAGAAACGAACTCATTTCTGACCAAGAACTCGAACTTAGGACAAAAGTGCCAATTGAGGACATAATGCTGGGAGTACAGCTTTGCCTGACTTCTACAGTATTTAAATTCCAAGGGAAAATATACAAACAAACTGAGGGAGTTGCCATGGGATCACCAATATCCCCGGTGGTAGCAGATATATTCATGGATAGGTGGGAAAAGATAGCGATTGAAACGTTCACCCCCACCCCAAAAGTATGGTGGAGGTATGTAGATGACACATTCACTGTACTTAGAACACAAGATATAGATAGATTTTTCGAGCACATCAACTCGAAGGTAGAGGCAATTCAATTCACTTATGAATTGGAAAGTCAGGAAGGGGAACTTCCAATGTTAGATTGCAACGTTAAAAGGAAAGAAGATGGGAAGCTAAACACTAGTGTTTACAGAAAACCCACACATTCAAACAGATATTTGGATTTCCGATCATCCCATCCTATGTCAGTAAAAATAGGATTAGTGAAATGTTTAAATGACAGAGCACAAAAACTAAGTAGTACCAAGGAAAATCTAAGACAGGAAGTGACACACATAAAAGAAGCCTTGAAACTTAATAATTACCCGGATAAATTAGTCAAGAAATATGTAAGTAAATGTAAAAATAAAATAAATAATGATAACAGAGATAGTGATAATAATAATAATGATAACAATAATAATAATAATGGTAATAATAATAGTGGTAATAATAATAGTGATAATAATATAAATAACGACACCAACAATAAGGAATGTAAATCATCAACAATAATTCCATACAAAGAAGGAACCTCGGAAGCCTTACGCAGAATTCTTAACAAGGCAGGAATAAAAGTGGCATTCAAACCCACAAACTCAATTAGAAACAAGCTTTGTCGGTTAAAGGATCCTGTAGAGCCATTAAAACAAAACAATTTAGTTTATCTAATACCCTGCAATGATTGTGAGGTCAAATACATAGGTCAAACTAGTAGAACAGGGGCAGTCAGACTAGCCGAACATAAAAACCTAGCTAAATCTAGATTGGTTGACCCGAATAAGATAAGAAATCTAGAGAGTAGTTCAGCTATAGCACTACATGCAGTTACACACAACCATACAATAGGATGGGATAGGATGACAGTTTTAAAATCTAATGTCACAGGGTATAGGGAGAGATTGATAACAGAAGCTTTGTTTATCGAATCAACTGCAAATACATGTAATAGGAATGATTCAACACCTGTCCCAGATATATGGAAAATTCTACTGCCCATACAACAAATAGGAGAAGACAGAGAAAACTATAAAAATCAAATCTCGAAGTCGTGTGACAAAAATTGATATGATTATGAACAATAAATTGTGTTCGAAACGTCATCCAGTATACAATACTGTTTCACTGTGTGATACATTTAATAATCAAACTAATATGGAATATAAAAAGACTGTTTGAGATCTGGATTTCGTGGGTGATTTGTGTTTAATGTCATACAAACTTGAAGATCTACTGTCGTAAACAAACAAGTTGTCAGAGGAAGTAGTGAAGGGAAGCGTTCTAATAGAGTAAGGAGTGATGAAAGTAACGAACAAATGAGAATACAGACTGAAATCACTGTTATTATTCCCTTGAGCTCTGAGTGGAACATAGAGAATCAACAATACATTCCTTTGTTCTATCTTCTACCGTCCCCTTCAGCTTGAAACACGATTACCTGCAGTCTCTTATCTTCTTTTCACACGATCTCCTACATGTCACTCTCGCAACGACGACCCACTTGTCGCTTCCCACTTAAGCCATGGTCTGGTGCTTGGGGTCATTCGATGGTTTCTTCATTGTATGCACAATTCATATCCATTTTATTCTACATATATGTTGAGCGATCGGCTCTTAGCTGATTTGTTCATGGTGTTTCGTGTTTCTTTCTGGCTGACCATTTGATCTTTAGTGCGCAGACAGCAAAGGCAGCTGTTGATCAAAGTCTGCAGCCTGTAGTAAATCACTCTGGCAAAACACAGTGTCAGTTTCTGAGCGGTATAGAAAAACTGACTGACTTCAAATTGTTCATCATCCTGAATCAGTGCAGAAGATTTCC